TGAAAGTAAAAGGCCATGAAACGCACGAGCAAATTTGGAGATTGGATTCAAAATTCAGAAATGGTAAGTTTTGAGGTGTTTTTGGTGATTTTATGTTCTTGGTGTTTTCAGGGCTCAAGCATGCGTGGGATTTGTGGAAAATAACTTGTGTATGTATAAGCAAAAGGTTTGAGTGCTTTGGAGAGTCAGAAGTACAAGTTATAAGCTAATTGCTATGTTACTTGATTTTCAAGAAAAGTGGGAAAACAAGTTTCAAGAGGAAGTACAAGCATGGGATGAGTAATTATAAGTGTCTAGATAAACTTATCTTGAGTTATGGGACTTGTATCATCAGAAGAAAACAAGTGCAAGGCTCAAGAACAAGTTTTATGCAAAAAGCTACTTTATCAAAATGGCATTGTGCACTTTCTTTCCAAAATAGATATAAAGCATGGCCTTGCATTAAATGTTTAAATTGAGACCTGTAACAGTTGTGCAAGCAATTAATTTTGGAGTGCCTAACAAGTTTGAGGCCTGCAAAGTAGAGGTTATGCAGCATAAGTTTGAATTTTTAATCCTGTTCATCACAAAATGACTTGTAATTCAAGTGTGAAAACCCTAACTTCATCTCTTCGATTCTCCCTACTCAAAAAAGATCTCAAGGAGTTCTTGGACATTTTGGAAAGCTTGTAATGTGCTATACAACCCCTCTTTGAATAAATTTTGAAAATTCCCCTTGGAACTATATGAAAAAGTGCCATGAAGTTAGGTCAAAATCCTGACAAAATTAGGACAAAATTTCACTGTTTTGTTTCATGACCATGTGTTCTTAAAATTATAACTTGAGATCCAAGCACTTTTGGAATGAGTTGTATAAATCAATGTTGTAGATTTCATGGAGATCTACAACTTTCATATTTTGAAATGCTTTGATGAATTGTGACATTTGACATTTGATTTTGACCAAAAAGTTGAAGTTTGACTTTTCAGTATACAGTTGACTTTTGATCAGTTGACTGAAAATTCATCTGTCAATTCATTAGAATTGAGCAATGTTTTAAGCCATGTCATTAGGTCAAAATGATTCAATTCGACTATTGAGATCATTCCTTAAACCAATTTATCATTTGCTAGGTCAAAAATCAAAAATTGTCCATTCCCAATCAAAACCCTAATTTTGACCATTTTGCCCTTTTGAAGATTTGATCAAATTTCTTGAGGATTTATGGTCCAAACTTGATCAAATGATACATATGAGTTTAAAATGTTTATGTGGATAAAAAATTATGAAGCTTGACTGTAAATTGGCCATAGTTGACTTTTTCCCCAATACAACTGATTTTTAGGTCAACTGCTCAATTGACTGAGCAAAAGTGTGATCTAAAGCTTGAAACTTGACATGAGTAATCTTGAGGGTCTATAATGATCCATGAAAGTCATATTGGGCATTTAAAGTTCAATTATCCTTGTGCAATCTCAAACCCTAATTTTGGTCATCAGTGCTTCAGGAGGTGTCTTGAGCTAATCAACCCTAGTGCAGTCTTGAGCCAAAGGAGATCTTGTGAGCAAATTCTTGATAAATGAGAGGGAAAATTTTGGGGTACAACACTATGTGACACATATTTAAAGGTCTATAATATTCTATTATAAATCAAGGAGAATTAAGACTTTCTAAATAAGGAGATTATTTAGGAAAGTAAAGATTGAAGACCTTTCTTGGGGAAGAAGTTTTTGTAGTTTGTTACAGCTGATTTACTGTGTTTGAAGGCTCAAAACTAGTAGGGTAACAGGTTATAAATAGAAGTATTTGTAACTTAGAAAATACACGGCTCAAGATGTACAAGTCTAGGGTTTTGTCAAGGTAAATCTCCCAGGTTGTGGGAAGGTTACCATATTCACCCCGAAGCCCGTATGTAAGAGGTGTATTGTTCTTGGAGGAAGCTTTGAAGCAACTCCAGGATGTGTTCTTAGTTAGGAGCAAAGATAACAAGCAGTGGAGTGTAGCTTGGAGACATAGCTAGGTTGTCATGGAAGTGTGTCTTCCAAACTTCTATCTGTGAGCTCAGAATCTTGGTGAAGGGTCGTTGATGCAGTGACTGAGGTGTTGACTGCTAGACATCATTGCGATGATTGGAAGTGGGATGGGGATATTCCATATCTAGGGAGGACCTTGGTAGAAGGGCTATTAGGTAGTGATTAAGTGCGTAGATCGTCAACGGGAGTGTTGGTTGTAGGGTATGCAAATTGATACTGCTGATAGTGAACTTCATTCCTGGCTTGGTAGCCCCCAGAGTAGGTGTTGTTGTACATTGAACTGAGTGAACAATTTTGGTGTGTTCTTTATCTTTTCAGTACTGTTTTTCCTGTGTGTTTATGTCAGATCAGATGTCTTGACATCCTTGAAAGACATCTGAGTTTGTTGTATCATAATTTCAAGATGTTATATTCACTTCAATTAAGACGCTAGTATACGAGACTCTCAATTTCCTACCTGTGCATTTATCCGTCATCAATGATTTTCCAATTGAACTAGTTATCTTCTCAATACTCTTTTCTCCCCAATAAGCTATAGAGAGTTATGGAAAGATGGCCCGTATAGGAAAGGTTCTGATCATGTCATCTTTCAATGTAAATGTTGGTGTCCATTCATGCAAGAACATGGATTTTCTATGAATTGTATAAGGTCCTTTTCTCAACACAATTTCCTTATCAACAATTGATATAAATTTGATAATAAAGTATCCTTCCTCATTATAATATAGGTTTGGAAGTGATACAAAATTCCATACATTGATCATGAATTTCTTAACAGCAGTCTTGGATAAATTTTCTCCTATCACATATATTATTAAGGCGTTTCCCAAAATTTGAGTTCAGATACCATATCTTGTTCAACTATGCTAACTTCAATTTCTTCATTAACTATCACGGTGAAGTGCATTCTATATCAGTTCTATGGATAAGAGACAGTTATCTTTAATGATGTCAACCCATGGAGCTTACTTTGTAGCTTCAATTTTGGCATGATCATCAATATTCTTTTTGATATCTTCCACAATCGAATCTAGTTGTTGCCTTTGATTCATTGTTATTGGAGTCCCTTTTCCTTCCGATATCATCACTTGCACGCTAAATCCTTCCTTCTGAGAGCTTTATCTGTTTGTTTGAGTCTTGGACAATGATGAAAACACTCGTACCATTTGTCGGAGGAGTCGTCACCGTCCGTTTGCGTGGTCGACCACGACCACGACCCATATCTCCCTCAATCTTTTTCTTTTACTATAAATCTAAGTGATTGTATTTTTTATTCTGCAAACAATTTATTTTAATGTTTATATTTTTTTTCATGTATTTATAATATATATTTTTGTTATGTATTGCAATGTTTTAAAAATCGAGCCGGAGAAAGAACCGTTAAAATATATGGATTAAGGTTCAATTGATTAAACCGATTAAACAGTGGTTAAACCGTATATTAAATTTAAACTAAATTTTTTTTATTAAACATCCTAATCAAAATAGTTTATATCATAAATTGTAAAATAAATTTCTCAACTAAATACCATACTAATAAACAAGCTTAAAAAAAAAAAGCAATGTAAGACCCAATAATAAATGAGAAAATTAGTTAAGGACCAATATTTATATATTTGTTCTAATTGTTTAACTCAAAGACACAAATTCTTCATTAGTATATATTTTCACATCTCTTTGAACATCAACATCAGTTATCCCGTGTCTACAAATGACATTACATTATTTCTTCGGTTGCTATTTACATTTACATTGTCTCATGTCTTCTAGTTTTATTCTTTATTTTTCATTTATACAATTTAAAATGTTTGTTATAATTAATTTTTTAGATATAAACAAAAAAATAAAATGAAGTAAAACATAAAAAAATTATCTTTGTTTTTTTTGAACGGTTTGATTCACCAAAATCGGTTCATATTTTGTAGTTATTTTGACTTTTCGCGATTGAAGCATTTTTATCCAAATTTTTTAGACCTATCATTTATTGATCCAAACCAAACTGAATTAGACAATGATTCAAAGTTGAATTGGTTCAATTAGTCGGTTCAATCCAATTTTTAAAACATTGATGTATTGTGTTTTATAATATATTTTAAATTTTTTTAATCTTTTTAAATATAAGTTATATTCTTTTTAAATTATTTTTTTGTATTTAAATTATTTTTATTTGAATTACTCAGTTTTTTTAGAATAATATATAAAATATAAATGTGGTGTATAATTGGACTCATTTTAATTTTTTTTTATAAGTTGTATATATATATTTAGAAAATGTAGATGTGTTGTTTAAATAAATAAGAGGAATAGCATAAACCTTATAATTCATTCATCATAGACATTCTTCTTCTCTCATAAAATATCTATCGGTTAATTATATTTGTTTATCTGGTGTGATATTTTCTTAAGAAATTATATCTTTTAAATTTTTTTCAAACCTTTGAATTTAAATCAATTTAATTTGACTATATTTATTATTTAACATATTATTATTATTATTCTAACTATATTATTATTTTATTATATAATAAAGAAATAAATTATTAGTTTTTTCAAACCTTTGAATTTAAATAAATTTAATTTGACTCTATAAGATTAAAAAATCCAAAAAAGTATAGTTTCCATAGGTAGATAATTATAATTAGAAAATAATAATTAAAAATCAATTTGATTTGAATTTAAAGAGAATGAAGAATATTAAAATAAAAAGTAGTAAATTTTTTAATAATAATAATAATAATAATAATAATAAGTATTCAAAATAGTGTTATTCACTATTTTTTATTCTCTCCCATTTCTCACAACTATTTTCAGACTCCCTCTCCAAATCTATAGCGTATGTTTTTTCTCTTTGTTGCTCTTAATATCTTTTAAATTCATTAATATTTTTGTATCGATTTTCTCTCATGGAATCTCTAATTCTCATCTATATCATTGTATTGATTGTATGTTACTTATAACTTTATTGTTTATTAGTGACCTACTGAAAGATGAATTATTTGAATTTGAATAATTACCAACAAAGAAGAGTGAATTTGCTGACTGGAGAATCTTCACATGGGGAGGGACTCTATGAACCAATTAATGTTTCTCAGAATAATTTTGAGGAAATTGATGATGATGTCATAGAAACTTCACCAAGAGAATTTGCTGAGGTTTAATCCTTTCTATTTTCTTAATTTATTTTGCAATTTAAAACATTTTTGCCAAAGATTAATAGAATATATTGTTTGTTGACAAAGATATAAAATGTTACCATTCAATTAGCATTTAGTAAAAAAAAAATTATCATCACTACTTTTACAATAGTTTTTAGTAGATGTTAATCAATTATTTATGTATCTTAGGCAGTGGCCAATGCGAGAAGAAATCGTATGGTCAATGAAGTTGATTTGAATAGAGGTAAGATTTTTCTCCCTTAAAATTTTTATTTAAGCAAAAATGTACATTTATTTAGATCAAAATATATGTATCCTTTTGGTTATATAAAAATCTAATGTAGCATTATTTTTCAAAAATAAAAATATGTTTTACCATATTAATTAATGCATTGAATTTTGAAGGAAAATAATTAATTATTGTATTTGTGGAAGGATAAACTATTTTTTCAAAATTACAATTATGTTGTGAATTAGGATGATTAGATGATATTCAAGTAAGATTTAAGTCTATGGGTCATGAGAAGACAATTGTACTGGGTTAAGAGTAAAACATATATTAAAAATACACATATTCACTTAAAATCTTAAGTTATCAAGTCTTTTAACTTATAAAGTGTTTTATCTCTATTTTTTTACAACGTGTGCCTTCTAACTCACTCTTGTGTCACAATAATGATATTTATCTATTGTTTAAATAAAAAATTTAAAAGATATAGATAAAATTAAAATTTGTTTATTGTTAGTATTTATAATATAGTATATTTAAAAATTTATTTTCTTTAAATATTTTTAATAGATTGCAACTTAGAGTGATTATTGTATATATTGATACACGAGTATCTAATATTAGTTTGTTCTTTTAATGTCTCCAGTTAGGGAGTAATTTTAAGAATTAGAAAGCAAATGAGTTTATTGTTTCAAAATCTTTGAAATTATTGACAATATAAGAGACTAAGTTTAAAAAGATTTTGACTCCTCTTCTTCAATCCTCCTTATAGGGTAACTCCTTCTATGAGTGAAGTTTTCTCCCGATCTATTAGAAATAGATGGGAATTGTTCTCAATCTTGTGTAGTTTCAAGAGTAGTTCTCGTTTATCCTTCTCATATATTCTCGGTTACCTTGATGTCCTCTACTTGTGAAGAGTGTCTATCTCCATGTGTTTTGTGAAAAATATTTACTCTAAGCATTTTTTTGAATGAGAAGATGGTCATGTGTGATGACCTAGTGTCCAAGAAATCCATTTTAGGGATATTATCTGATGTTTTTTTGGGGATATCATATATATCTATTTGTGCTTTGAGTGATATCATTAAGGGAGTTGGTTTCTTCAATTGTACTAATAATATGGAATACTCTTCCTTGAATAATTTCATCTCTCAAATGGATTTGTTTGATCTTTCCCTCTTAGGTAGGAAGTCAACATGGCTTTCGTATAATAGGGGAGCATCTAATAGGTGGCGTAGGATTTTTGTGTCTGATGGTTAATGGGTTATAGAGGTGTGGCTTCATAGTAGACTCTACCTAGAGATGTCTTGGATTAGTGTTCTAACATCCTTAGGTATTCCAAATAATTTAAAGGTCCTAAACCATTCAGATTTAACAATCACTCACTTGATCATTATATCTTTGTAGAGTTAGTCCATACTAGTTGGAGTCGTTATGTGTTCTTTGATTGGAAATCTTTTTTCCTCAAAGAGAAACTCAAATATCTCAAATGGGTTATGAAAGTTTGCAATAAAAATGTCTTTGGAAAACTTTGAATCCCAAATTGTCTCCTTGAGAGAGGTGGTGAGTTCTCTTAACTATATGGTTGACCTTGGTGTGCATTTTATATAAGATGTGGTGGATAGATTGAGAGCTATTGTGGACCTTTAATCATTGCTTAAGATTAAATATCCAAATACTTTTAGAGGTCAAAAGAAAAGTGACTCAAGGAGAGTGATGCTAATTATAAGTTATTTCCTACTTGTGTGAAGAGTAGGAGTAGGGAGAATACAATCCAAATCCTTAAGGTGGGCGATATTTGGATAGTTGGGGTTGCTGAGATCCGTCAAGAGGTGATTAATTTCTTCTCTAATAAATTTAAGAAACCTTTGGTAGATTGTCCATAAATTAATGAGTTTAGTTTTTTATCCTTTTTTCCGAGATTCTAATGCTACTCGTACTTCTCTTTTTCTATTTTATGAGATAGACAAGGAGGTTGCGTTATAGATTGCTAATAAATTCCTAAGTTAAAAGAGTTTATTTTCCATTTCTAGAAAATGTTCTTGCTTTCTCTTAGGGATAATATGACAATGATGTTTAATTTGTTTCACCATTTTATATCTCTTCCCAATTGTTTCATGTTATATTTTGTCACTTTCATTCCTAAGTTATACTCTCCATTGTATTAGGGGTATTTTTGACCTATCTTCTTGACGAGATCTCATTATAAGTCGGTTTCTAAAGTACTATTAACTAGACATGCAGAGGTTATGGAAAACATTATTTCCCTTAACCAATAGACCTTTATTAAATCTAGATTGTTAGTTGATGGGGTGGATGTTATAAATGAGTAGGTTGATCTATTTAAGAAAACCAAAAGATCTTGTTTTTTTTATGGTGAAATTTAAAAAAATATATGGTTTAGTCGCTTGGAGTTTTCTGAATTACATGCTTATTATATTTTAATTTAATGCTAAGTGAAAATTCTATATATATGCCTATTTTTTTCTCAGAAAATCTTGTGGTTTTAATAAATAGATGTCCTAACTAACAAATTAGCATCCAAAAGAGATTAAAGTAAGGAAATCCCTTAGCCCATTTCCTTTATTTGCTCGTGGCATAAGGCTCAAATGAGTTATTTTCCAAGCATTAGATCTTGTTCTCTTCTCTAATTTTAGATTTGGCTCATTGGATCTTAGTGTATGTTTGTGTGTGTGTGTGTGGAGTATTTTTTATGGTGAATAATATTTTATTTTTTAATAAATAATAAAAATATAATAAATGAAAGTTGAATTATATTATTATGGTGATTGAAATTGTTGCTTTTTAGAAATTTATCTTTCATGATTATTGCAGAAAATCACAGGATCTCAGACTTTTTTCTGCCTGACGGCCGCATTCTCCAACCATATGATGACATGATTTATATAAATTTTGATTACATTGCACATGAGGTATTATTAAATTTCTTAACTTTATGGCTAGTTGGTTTATGTTTGTAACCATGAGAAGTTGGTCTTATTTAGTTGGTCATTTTCTAAAATTAATAAATCACTTAATTCTCTTTTCTATTTTAAGTTTGACCGCTTAATAAAATGAGTAGTAGTAGTTGTTTTTATTGTAGAATAAATTATACAAAATCTTATTAATATGAAGTTACATGATATATTTAAAAATTACATAATTTTTAAAAAAATCTAAAATATTCATGCAATCCATAACTCTTATTAAAACCTAATAAACTTACATATGTTATAGAGGTTGTTGAAGTTATATTTCTAACTAGATTTTTTTTATATTGAAATTGTCATTAAAGTTAGCTGAAAAAGAGAAGAAAGCCGCGGAAGCTAAGAAAAAAGCACTTGAAACTCCCAAAGAGTCTCCCTATAAATGCCCAATATGTATGGATTCTATTCAGGAGGAAATGGCCACAAGGTGTGGTCATATCTTTTGTAAGTTCTGCATAAAGAAAGCAATTAAAGCACAAGGTAAATGTCCTGCATGTAGGGAAAGGGTTACTTCGAGACAATTAAGAAGGGTGTTTCTTCCATCTCCTAATTAAAGGTATATGCCAATAATTTATAGTTTATTAGAATGTGAATTATTTTGCAATATGTAGTTGAATTTTCTTATGTGATTTTAATATATAAAAAAAACTATCATTACTTTTATATTATGTGATTCTCTTTTGTTGTATAACAGGGTTATGGAAGCTTTGTTGACGACAATTTTGGACTAGATAATAATTTATTCGGCTATCTTGGATATTCTCGAATAATCATGTTATTTCTTGTTTTGTTTGTCACAAGTACCATTTTTAGTTATTCATTTTTATATCATTAATTATATATGTTTGTGGGATTCTTTTGAATGTTCTATATTTAAATTTATAACTCATTTAATATTGACATAAAGGATTTACATATGTCTTTATTTCGTGATTTTTCGTTCATTAGATTTGAGATTTTATTTGAGTCAAAATGATGGGGAGTTATAATAATAATAATAATAATAATAATAATAATAATAATAATAATAATAATAATAATACATTTATTATAATCATACATTTATTTTTATTATATAAAACCCTAATATCATAGAGCTCTTTTCTCCAATGAGCTAAATTTCAAAAAAATTAATCCAAGATATAAAACATGAATAGGTTTTCATAAAGAAAATTTAACCTAGTTTAATTTAATAGACGCCTGTGGAAATCTTGTAGGCTTAAAATTGGTCATGAAAGGCTTCTAATTCATGTTAGGATTAAAGGTAATTTTTAAGCCGTAGTTCCTTCAATACCTTTGATTTTGATTCAATCATCGATTAATTGGAAGGGTGCTCCAGATGCTTTAGTTTTCTTGATTTCTCAATTATGGAGTTATCCTCCTAACTTGTTCCTTATGGGAGTGTGAAGACTAGTGTGTCCTAGAACATCTTCTAGATAAATTAAGCTCACCTTCCTTCACTTGTCTTTTCGATCAATGTTTATATAACCCTCATTTTTCTATTGGTTTTTCTTTCCATTATTGAGTTCTGATACCTTTTCTTAGAGAGATCGAAAATAACTAAGGACTTAACTTGTCCATTATGTTATAACAATCTTGTCCTCTTTCATATGCTCATATTGTGGTGATTCATGAACTACTTTCTTCTAATATTGGTAAAGACATTCTTGACCATATGAAATCCAAAAATATGATAAAACTAAACAAATATTTATGATTTACTTTTAAGTTCAATGATGAGGAAGACGTAAATTAATACGTTTTTATTTTATTTTATGGGTTATAATGTATCTAACGTTTCTAGAAATTATGTGTAATACTGATAGGTCCTTGTTGTGACTTGAGTTATATCCCTACAATAAAGAAGAATAATATGTACAATATTTCTATTTTGTTTAATTCTACGAGGTTTTCTTAATTTTTCGATGTTGTAGATTTTTTTAGGGTAATATTCAGTAGGGGGCTTAAACCAATTTTCTTTGGGGTTAATATGTATTCCAGACATACTTAGTGGACAAGAGATAAACTTGGTGATATTTAGTGAATTTTAAGAATATTTTTGGGTGTGGTATGTTTTGTGCTATGGGGAACTTCAATATTGTTTTCTCTAGTAGAGATATGATTTATGCTAATGACTATGCATTGATGTTTGTATTGTTGATATCTGGCTTTCAGAAAACTTATCTCCCAAATGGGTCTTATTGACCTTAATCTTTTATGAATAAATTCCACTTGGTTTCAACCTAACAGAGAAGTTACAATTCTTAAAGATATGATCATGGTTTCACATATTTAGTGGAATCATTTGGGGTCAATGTTTTAGTGGGTGCTTTTTTGAGATGTTTCTGACCATTATTGTTAGGATTGATTTCTGAAATTAAGCCAATCATCTTTCTCTTGTAAGGGATTTTAAAAAATAATTTTTCAACATAGATAGCTACTCTAATAGTGAATTTATTTAACATAATTTATGAAAATTTAAAATTCACAAGACAATGTCTATGCATAACATGAACAAGTAACACATATATAACGACTCGAGAAAATTAGAATAAACAAATCCATAAATAATCTCTATGCTTTTTGTCTAATTATATATGCTTTTTTGTTTGAGAAGATATTGTTAATAGAGAAATTGAATAAGAAGATATGTATAGAAAATAAAATCACATTCGTCTTTCCCGATTTTGAGAGTATATTGTAAATGAATGAATGAATAATTTAGAAATTTAGAGTTCATTGTGTTTGTATAGGTGTTTTGGGTGACAATAGCTGTACCCTATGGATTGCTTTGTAATAATTGATTTTGGTTATATATAATTTTATTTCCAAAAAAAAATTATGGTATTTATATTATTTACATCTAAGACAATTATTGTTCATTATTATAGCAAAAATAAAAGCATGCAAACTTTATTCATCTTCGACATAGATCGTATAATCCAGTCAATTGATGACATATTTATAAATACGTGAGGCAACACCAATTAGAAGGAAAGAAACTTCCTATATATAGCTTCCTATCTAATTTTTTTACCTTTGGTTGTCTTTTTCCCTATGTTATATTGATACTAAAATATATATTTCATTGAAGTTTATTTTCTAATTTGAATATTTCTTTACATGATCAGAATAAAAGAAGTCCACCTAAAACTAATAAGGTAACCCTTAAGCTTGAGATATAGACACCTGATCTTTCAAAAGAATTTTGTATATAAAGTTCTCAATATGTATGAAGGTGTGGCTATTTCTTTTGCAAGAATTATATCAAACATGAAGTTTCAATATATCATATAAGTTATACGTAAAGAAAAAGGATACTCTAAGGTGGCTACTAAGGATGTTTCTTCCATCTACAATAGACAATATTTTTATGTGGTATTTCTCTGCATTAGAGATCTTAAGAATTATTAAAAGAGGTTGAAATTGGTCATATTTATGAAAAATCATTTTCTTCATCAATTTTTATTGTATGTGTCGACACATAAGTATTTCTAGTCGACACATACTAAAGCTTTTTTGAAAATGCAGAAATGTTGATTTTATGTGTTGACATATATAAATTTCAGATCGACATATGTACTGCATTTTTAAAGCATGTAGCCTCTGACTATCTTAGATCGACACATCAGTTTTCTGGTCGACACATGCAGTTAGAATTTGACTTATGTGTCGACACATACAATTTTCAAGTCGACGCATACTGTTTAATTTGGTCAATTTTTCAATTCTTTTTAATTCCGAAAATCTCCTTTTTGTCCAAAAAGTTCCAAAACTATAAATACTCATTCATGCATCATTCATAACTTGGTGAAACCATAAAATTAGCCTATTTCTCTCTCCATCTTCAACCTCCAATCTATGCATACACACTGGCATTACATTGGTTGATTTAAAGGTTTTTGTGAAAGATCATTCAAGAGGAAATCGTGGTCAAGTGAACAACCTTGGAGTGCTTAAAATATTTGCAAGGAACCTTTGAGTGTTTGAAATTTTTGCAAGAAAGTAGCTTAAAGTGCCAGGTAGAATTGAAGATCTTGTGTTGATAGATTACAATCATATTTTCTCGAGTGAACAATCTTGGAGTGCTTGAAATCTTTGCAAGGAACCTTCAAGTGTTTGAAATTTTTTCAAGGAAGTAGCTTAAGCGGAGAATAGGTTGAATCTATTGTGTGCTTGATCTTGTTGAAGATCGAAAGAAGAGAAGGGGCTGATTCAACATTAAACGGTTAGGGTTTGTAGGATTGCTCTTGAACACTTCTCTTGTAACCATACTCTTGCAAAGTAAGAAATTATCCTAACTCCAAATTTGGATTTGGGGGGAGATGTAGCTATAGAAAGGACGATTGGTGTACTTCCTAAACAAATCCTTGTATCTCTTATCTTTTATTGTTTTACTAACCTTAATCTTCATATATCGATTTGTCAAATAACATTATGTAATTTATCAACACGTAGGAATTTTTCTAAACTGTTTTTATTTTGAATTGTGTGTTGAGTTACCTATAATCACTTTTTATTATAAGTGTTTTTTCATATCAACACAACAAAAAGAAAAATTATGAAACTTTGATTTCACGACATGTGTTTGACAAATTGTTTAGCTTGTTTAACTCAAAGGAAAATTGTAATGTTCTATCTCTTACTTTTATTTACTCTATATATCAAAATTGTTGAATGTGTTGTTTGATCGATTAATTTGTACATAATTTCTCTTTGATTATTAAAGTTTAAATTTCTTTATTGATTAGCTTATAATAACTTTGATTGTAAGTACTTTTGCATATCGACTAATCTCAAAGAAAATTTTGAAAAATTGATTGCACGCCGCATGTTTGATAAATTGTCAAGTTATGTTTTTAATATGATTTCATTGGAAATAGGAAACCGTTGTGTTTGATATTAAACTATTAATGGGGGATATTATTATGTTTATTGATTTTATCATTATCTTGATTCCATATGACTTGTGCATATCTGAGTTTTTGATAACTAGTTTCGTTCAGACTACTTTATTGATCTAGACCAAAAACATTTCGCTCAACATTGTTTTTTCAAATAAGTTTTTAAATAACTTTTTTGAAAGGTAGTTTTTGTGTGGGTATCGAATCACCCCCTCTAGATACGTTATCGTAGTCTAACATCATGCTTGTGTGCTCTTGTTGTTGTTAATTTTTATGGTGTGCAGAGATGTCGAACCAGATGTTCTGACATTTTATTTATGTGTGAACTTGGATAGCTCATGTGTGTTGTTATAAGGATATGAGTCTTAGATGTGTGAACTTGGATAGCTCATGCAGGTCATTTGGGTTTTCCTCAGTTGTGGTCTAGTGATTTTTCGGGCTAGTTTTCTTCTACTTCGGGAAACGTTTCTTCTTCCACTCGGGGAGGAGAATTAGTTCTCTATGCCTAGAAGTAGATTTGAGTGAAAAGGGGAGTGATACGCCTATTTGTTTCTAAGTGCTTATGTATACAATGTGTGTTTCCGCTGGTTATGTATATTTACTCTATTTTTTGTCAATATTTTGGCTAAAAAGGGGGGAGTAAAGTGTTG